TGCAGTACCTTTAGAATGTGAACAGTTTGGTTACTTTTTGTAGTACTTTCATTTATTGCATTTTTCCATTTCCTCCTGAGCATGGAGAGCGCAAAGCCATCAGATATTGGTGCTGGAATCCTGCTTTAAGAGCTCTCTTGTTAGTAGCATGTTAATTCAGGGGCCTGATTGTGGGGAGGGGCATTAGACCCACTATTTCACCTTGGAAAACAGTGCAGGCCATTCTGCCTTTAATCTGAGACCGTGGTAACCAAGAACCAACTGGATGCTGAAAGATCAGGAAAGCTTATTTATTGAGCCCCCAATCCAGATGTAATTATTGTAGCCCACCTACCGCTGGCCCTCCAGGTCCATGGCTCATCATTATTTCTGATCCCTTTTGGTGAGTGTTAGTTTGGCTCAGTAGAATTAGTTCCTGATTGGTACTGTCCTTCTGAATAGCCCTGAAAGTCCTGGTTACTTGCTGTGCAGATTGAGGGGTGAAGGAGGGGAAGGCAGCAGGTAGACTTGGGTTTTGTTTTTTTCTGATTAAACTCTTGCCAGTTACCTTTCTCAAAGATTCAAAGCAGTTCCCTACATCAAGAATTGTATCCTCTTCTATAGGTTATAGTCTAACTATGTAGTAAGTTTCCTGTTTGATATGAACTGGCCTTTCCCACACCATCCTATTTTTACTTTAGTTCGTATTTATCTAACATGATTCTTCCTGTGGAGAGGCCCATGAAACCCCACCCCCAGTAGAAGTTAGAGAGCTGGCCTCATGGTCAGTGCTTCCTGGGGAGCCCTGGATAAGGCACATGACTTCCTCATGACCCAGGTCACTCTCCAGGACCAGAATGCTGCTGAAGGGCTGCCTTGGGGGGGCAGCTTTTCCTTACCTAGGACGCTTGAAGGCTCAGGTCATCCTGGCTCTCTCAGACATGCTCTCTGGTCTTTAATCTTTGATTTAACCACATTGCTTCTTGAACACACCACCAGAGAAGCAGATAAAAAGGAAATGTGAGATTCTAGGTTGTGAGGTGGCAGCAGTGGCCACAGAGACCATCTAGGCCACTCTGCCTCATTGTGGACACTGAGGTCCAGAGAAGTTAAATTCTTGCCCAAGGTCACGCAGCAAATGTGGGAGGTAGTTTTGGGGGAAATATAGTCAATTGGATTTTGGTCATACCTGGGATTGAGAGCTAGAAGAGACTTCTCTTTCTGCTAAAGAAGGGAAGTGAGAGTCAGAAAGATGAAGTGATTTGCCCATTGTTGTCGTGCAAATAGTAAGGGTTGCAGCAGGAATCTGAACTCGGCTCCTTTTGCTCTTGGCTTTCTTTCCATCATGCTGCTTCTCCGTTGAGGTTGAGTTTGTGATGCCAGCAAGAAGTTCATTTCCACAAACATTTATTAAATGCTTCCTTTGAGCAAGGCACCCATTTCCTAGATTGCTGGGGATGCTGAGAAAAATAAAATGGTGTCTCCGCTCCTGGAGTTTCTCTTCTCTAGGGGCACGTGCAGGAGGGAGGAGGAAGAGAGAGCTGGGGGAGGAGAGGGGGGAGGGCGCTTTGGCTGGGAGGTGGAAGAGTCTATGAAGTCTGTGAATGAGAGCCAGTGACCAACTTGTCTGTAGTGGGAAAAGGGAAGAAAGGAAGTGATAGAGTCTGGAAAGACAGTCGTGTAGATCCCGATGAGTGAGGGCTTGGGGTGCCAGGTTGAGGAGTTTATTGTATACTCAAGGCACTAGCATCTCCTGAAGATTTTTGAGTGGGAGTGTTGGATGGTGAGGCTTTTTTGACAGCAGGGCAGAGGGTGATTGGGGCGGGGGGGGGGGACCCTTGAGGAGGCCACCCCAGTGACCCAGGTGAAGGGGCCATGGAGAGCCTGAACCGAGGTGGGAACTGGATAAATAAGGAGAAGGGGGTGGGTGTAAGAAATGGAGTAAAATTGACCAGATTTGGCAGCCTGTTAGAAATAAGGGGTGGGGGCAGCTAGGTGGTGCAGTGGATAGAGCACTGGCCCTGAAGTCAGTAGGACCTGAGTTCAAATCCTGCCTCAGACAAAACACTTGACACATACTAGCTGTGTAACCCTGGGGAAGTCACTTAACCCTAATTGCCTAAAAAAAAAAAAGTCTAATGAAAAAAATATATTCCAAAAAAAAAAGAAATAAGGGTGAGGGTGATTGAAGAGCTGAGGAATTACTCTGAGGTTTTGAACCAGTGCAGTTGGAAGACTGGTAGTTTCTTTGACAGAAATAGGGCCCTCGCTGCAGTGAGGCGTCTTTTTGTATTTCCTTAATCAATTCGATTTCTCCCCTCAGCTGAGATATTTAGCTGAAAAATTCATATTCAGCTGAAAAATTGAAGCCATTCCCAGAGAACTTTCTCTTTTCTCCTATTCCTCATCTCACATCACTCAGATGCCTTCTGCTACTATCTTAATCATTGTTTTTCACAGGAAGAGATGAAAAAGGGAAAGGGAAATAAGCCTTTATATAAGAGTCTTCTATGGCCGTATCCTCATTTTACACTTGAGGAAACTGAGGCAAGCAGGTTAAGTGACTTGTCCAAAATCACATAGCAGTGTCTAAAGCCGAATTTGAACTCGGGCCTTCCTGACTCCAGGCCCAATATTCTATCCACTGCACCACCTTCTCCTTGCCAGAGCAAACCCCTCTACTTAAACAAGTGACCCCCATTCCATTCTGTCTTCTCCAGCCAATTGCCTCCTCCACATAATTCTCACTCTCAGCTTATCTTCAACTTCTCCCTTTCTGCTGGCAGCTTCCCTGCCTCCTGCAAACATGTCTGTCCATCCATCCCTGCTAGCTCCTGACCTTCCTCTGTCTTCTCTTTCATGACTGACTTTGAGAAAGCCCTCCACCATAGTTGCCTCCCCTCCCTCTCCTCTGCTTCTTAACTTCCAGCCTCACCATTCCACTGAAGCTGCTCTCTGTAATGGGGCTGATGACCTCTTAGTCATCAAATCCATCGGCCTTTTCTCAGTCCTCCTTCTTGACTTTTCTGCAGCCTTTGATACTGTCCATCACTGTCAATCTTCTCCTCCTTTATATTCTCTGCCCTCCCCTGTCTGCCCCCTCTCAGTCTTCTTTGCTAGCTCTTCATCCAGGTCATGCCTACTAACCGTGGGTGTTAGGGCTCGGTCTTGGGCCCTCTGTACTATTTCACTTGGTGATCTTATCAGCCCCCCTGGATTCAATTATCACCTCTCTGCTGACAATTCTCAAATCTACTTATCCAGTCCTAACCTCACTGCTGAGCTCCATGCTCATGTCTCCAGCTGCCCATTGGACATCTCAGACTGGATGTCTCATAAGATACCTTAAACTTAACCCTTCTGAGAGTAGTGACCTGGGAGGGTCACTTTGGTCTAGAAATTTACCAGGGTGGTGGATGAGGCTTTGGGAGAGTATGGGGACACACCCCATCCAGGAACTACAGCAGCTGGTTTGCTCTTGGTTCCAAAACTGGAGAGAGGTTGGGGTGACAAAGAAAGGGCCACCAATCTGGAGAGCAGAGCTTCTAGGCTGAAGGTGGGGGTGGTAGAGTACGAGAGAGGAAGGAGTGAAGGGAAGCTTGGTAGTCAGGGCTGATCTGAAGTAGTGATCTACGAGAGATAGTCACTAAACAGGAGAGCGAGTAGAAGCAACAATGTGAGTGACTATTTCTAGGTGTTTTATCAGTCTCTTGCTTTTTTCTGTAATCTCTGTCGAGGATTGAGTTGGACATGTTGGTGTTCTGTATGTTTTGTTAATTAAAAATTAAAAGTTTACTGGAGAGAACAAAAATTGTCAAATTGCCTTGTATCAGTGAGGCCCAGTTGAGAATAGATAACAAATTTATAGTGGACCCAGTCAACACAGGGGCAAGTTTTGAGTGGCATCAGAACAAGAGGGCAAGCAAAAGTTCTGAGAGTAAAGGCTGGTGTATAGTTGAACTGGTTAACCATTGTGTCAAAACTCTTAAGGACTGGAAGCCACATTAAATATGGTTTAAGTGGAGGAAGGCGGAGGAAGAAGGCAGAAGAGACTGTAATCAGGGAAGAGAATTTCAGCCTTAAGGATTGTGGAGGTCACATGTTGCCATCTGTGTGGGTGGCTGAGGTATAAAAGGTCAGAGGAACGGGAGTGGAGGCTGGGCTTTTCATAAGGATATCATTAGGTATATTGAAGTCCCTGAGTGTGAGGGCAAGAGTTGGGGTAGAGAGAAGACTGAGCCAGACACTGAACTCCTTAAGAAAAGAAAAGTAAACTGGAGCGTGGTAAGGGATGGCATCAAGGGTCTGAACGGGGTAGGGGGTGGAGACAGAGGGAGTGAATCTCAGAGGAGGAAAGGTGGCTGCTAGATTTGCAAGCAGAGGGTGGGCCGGGGTCTGTAAGCGGGATTGAGGAGCATAGAGTATTCCTACTTCTCCTTATGCCGTGCACAAAGTAACAAGTAGGTGTTGATAAATGTTCAGCTTATCAAACTTGATAAACATTTGGTGAATTGAGTTGAATCCAAGTGGTCAGAGGCCCTTGAGCAAAGGCTTTTGGGTTTGGTGGTGAGGTTCAGGGGAGTCGCGAGCACAGCTGCCTGCTGGGAGTGCTCTGAGGATGAGCTTTCCTGCAGACCACTTTTCCCAAGATCAGCTACGAAGGAGCAAGGAGACAGAGGCAGCTTGAGTGGGCAGGGTGGGTGGCCAAATGCAGACAGTTAAAAACTGGTCTCAGTGGTTTTGAATACTTCTTGGATGATGGCGTGACATGGCGTTAAAAACATTTATTGCTCTGCCATTGCCTTTTCTGCACCAAGCCTGCTGGAGACATTTTTTTCTGTGTACTATTAGGTTTCTTTCTCGGGTTGAAAATGAACAGGGGCACCTTCCTTCCCCTTTAAATAAGCTGCTGCTGCTGCTGCTGCTGCTGCTGCTGCTAGGGAGAAGGAATATTCAATTGTGTGAGAAGGTGAAGGCAAAAAAACTACACCTCTCCCCCCCAATCTGGTTTTGTTTTTCAGGACTCAAAGCCACCTATTATTTCATTACAAAAGCTAATTGTAAGGGAGGTAGCAAATGAGGAAAAAGCAATGTTTCTGATCAGTGCCTCAATGAAAGGACCAGAAATGTATGAAATTTATACCTGCTCCAAAGAAGAGAGAAATTCATGGATGACCCAGATCCGCAGAGCTGTGGAAAGGTAAATAAAACTTTGGAAGGGTTTTCTTTCCCATTTGTGCATTTGCTCCCTTCAGAGTGAGTATTTTACCTTCATGAACAAAAGAAAGTTAACTGTGTTTTAGTTCTTGTAGCACCACCTAGAGACTGTTTTACAAAAGCTAAACAGCCAATGTGGGTTCTGTAACGCAGTGAGGAGAGTTAGTTTTCTGCTCTCTTCCAGCCCTTTGTGAGGGGCTGGCCTGGGGGAGGGGGAGGGATTCCCTTGTCTCAGAAGAGCAGATAGCACTGTCCCCCATCTGCCTGAGAAGGGCTGAGCAGTCTGTGTTTGACAATAGTTCAGCCTTTGAGATGCTCAAAAGACTTCCTATTTTTCCAGCCAGATTGTAGGGCCTGTGCATTCATTGCTAGTTTTACCTACATCGAAGTCCAGAGGCCTGGGCATCGGTGGATTCCAGATTTTTGTATTCTAGATGGAGCGTTCTTCATGACAGCAACAAGTTGTTTGCAAACTTAATTTCCCCCTTTAAACTGGTTTGTCTCCTTGCCTTGTTTCTTTCCCCCACTGCACTTTCTGTCCGCTTTTACTCAGGCACCCTTTCAATCCTGTTATGTCAGCCTTGGCTTTTAGCTAGCTCTGGGCAGGCAAACCCATTTTGTGTCCTAGAAAAACTTTGCTTCCTCAGAGCACTTTCTGGGTCCTATTCCCTCTTTCTGGAATGCTTTTCCTTTTCTCTCTGCCAAATGGTTTCACCATTGGAAACTCACCGCTTCTAAGAAGGCTTCCTAGGCTAATCCCGTCCACATTTTCTCATTCCAGCAGTCCATCAGTGTTGCATATGGCTGAGGCTAAGTGTTGATAGCACCTAGCACAGAGCCTTCAAATAAATGTTGACTGACTTTTCTTTCTGTTGAGGGTGTTCTTGCGGACTCTGTGCTCTCCCCTTCTTAAGGTGTGAGCTCTCTGATGTTGAAGGTTGTGTATATACTTTCCTTTTCAACTCATGCTTTGTGCAGATAGAGTTCTCCACAGATATCTGCCGGTTTGTTTCTTCCAGCTCCTTCTGTCTTTTTTTCCTAAGCTAGTGATGAACAAACAGGTTTTGCTCAATTAAAGAACTTCTTAGCACCTCTCTCTGTTAGATGCCTCAGAAGAGCAGTGTCCCTTTTTAAGAAACCAGAGAATGACCCAGAGGAAAGCACACAGGCAGGTCATAGCAGTGTCCCTCTCTTCTTCCCTCAGTTGCCCTGATGGGGAGGAAGAACCGTTCGGTGAGGCCGAAGAAGACAGAAAAATGGCTGAAGCCCGAGCTGTAAAATTAAAAGAATTCCAAGGTAAAGGGGTCGGGAGCAAATTCTACCAGGGAAGTCTGAACTGGGAGGGGGGCAGTTCTCACTCATGTTCTGAGACAGCTGTGGGCAGCAGAAAACAATGGGGGGGGGTGGACGCTAGGCTTGTAAATCTAGACATTGCCCTCTTTTACCCTTGACCTAAACTCTCACTCGTTTGTGAATCAGTCATAAGTTTGTAGGTTTAGAACTGGAAGAGACCTTGGAAGTCACCTAGTCCAGGCCCTTCATTTTATAGATGAGGAAATCAAGTCATGGAGAAGTGAAGAGGCACAGAAAGTCTGTGGCAGAGCTCAATTTGAACCCAAATCTTCTGACTGTAGATCCAGTGCTGTCGAGAGTTGCCAACAGCTTGTGGTTTGGTTTCAGTCCAGTATGTGAGGGGGGAAAAAAAATGGAAATGGTTGTCCTTTCCCAGGATCCTCCTCAGGCATCTTGTTGGGTAGGCAAGGAGAAAGAGGAGGGTTAGAGAAGCCAGGAATCAGAAGGGACAGGTGGAGGTCAGCCAAGAGCAGAGCTGGACCCTAATTACTTTGTAGCACCAAATGAACCACCCTGACCAGGCCAGTGTCCTTGGGCTGTGAGTGGCCTCTCTGGAGCTGGGCGTCTTCTACAGTGAGCTAGGGGAGCAGTCCCTGATCGAGGTGGAAGGGCCGTGCTGTGGGCACCATAATGGGGTCATCCTGGGGACCAGTCAGCAGAGCACATCAGGTGGGGAATGTCGGGGAGGATGTGAGCCACGGCTCCTGGATGCCTCCCAGCTAGGACAGTGTTAATAATACAGCTTGTTGGGTATAACCATTTCTGTTTCATTGTCATCTGAAGGAATTCTTGAGATTTTTGTACTCCTCAGGGACCCTTTGCCTTTTGGGGAGGCAGCTTAGTGCAGTACAGATAGGTGGAATGCCAGACTGGGAGTCAGGAGGCCTGGGTTTGAATCTAGTTTCAGATATTTCAGTTACTTCACCTCTAACCCAGGCATAATAATACTTGGTAAAGTTATTGTGAATGTCGTGCTTTGTAAATCCTATAGCAAGCTATAAGCACGTGAGTAGTTCTCACTGACCTAAATCACAAGTTGACTTTTTCGGCCTTCACTTTCAGCCTTTGAGTTCAATCAGAGATAGATCTTTGGCCTATGGTAACCCAGTTAATAGAAGTGATGCTTTTTAAAGTCTAAGGTATTTCAGCTCAGTCTCATGATTGTGTCTGACACATTCTCTTGTCAGGAAAATCCAGTCTAGCCTAGGTGACTTTAATGCTGGTGCTTAGTCACTTTGCCCCCAAACACCAGCAGCACTGAGAGGTTTCTGTTGTACAAGTCATAAATTGACATGTATTATAAATAAGACATAAATTGACACCCTTTTAACTGTACTCCTTTTCTTAGAGCGTTTAAGCAAGAAAGATGAACTGATTGCCCAAAGTCTCAATGAGAAACAGCAGATTTATTTGGAAATGGCTGAGATTAACAGCTTTGAAGATCTTCCTCCTGGCTCGCAGTCCAGGTTCTTTTTCCGAGGAGGGGAACCCTCAGAGAACCTGCAAGGCGATGTGATTCTGAAGTCGGCAATATCTGAAGGTAGGTAGCAAAAACCTTCTAAATGGTGGCCAGGGACACTCATGATTATGAAAATGTTCCTCAGAGCCACAGGATGTAGTGGTTGGCAAGGAGTCGTCGACCACCCAGTCCAACCCCTTCATTTTAGATTTTGGGGCGGGGGAGTGGCAGTTGGGGTCACACAGCTAGTAAGTGTCAAGTGTTTGGTCTGAGGCCGGATTTAAACTCAGGTCCGATGCTCTGTCCACCGCGCCACCTAGCTGCCCCTCAACCCCTTCATTTTACAAAAGGTGAAACTGAGGTACAGAGAGCCGGTCAGTGACTCACCTGAGGCACATATCTATGAGGAGGTGGTTCTAGATGCGGAATATCGTAGATCTGATATGCCGGGCCGCGCGCATTGACTCATCCCACATTCATTATGAAGCCCAGGGTTAAGGAATGAAAGAGACCCACCTGGTCTGTCCTCATGATAAGGGCGCAGTGCTGGACCTTGGGTGTGCTTTCACACGTGTATTCATGGATGGAGCTGCTGTCTGTTTCTCCTTGGTTATTCTGAATGCACATGGCAGAAAATGAAACTTTCTTGCATCGATGGACCAAACCTATGGGGGGTGGGCACTGTGTTGAAGCCACATCCCTGGATCAGATTTCATTACGGACTATTTTGCTTTGTCTCTTCCACGGCCACAGCCTTGGCCTGCCACCTCCCCAGTGTGTACTCTTAAGGGCTGGACCGGAGAGGTTGCTTGATTCAGTGTGCATCTGTCAACACTGCTCCAAACACGGCTCAGCATGTGGACTTTAGTGATAGTTAGCGGTCATCTTCAAAGGGAAACAAATTAGAGAGCCCACATCGTATCTTTAACTTTCTGTTTAGACGTTGGTGTCTTGTTTGTTATGGCAGCAGTAATAAGGACGGTTTCGTCAGAAACCAGAACTCAAGTCCCTGTGTCAAAGTGGTGTGATGTTCTGTGTTTCTTTCCTAGTATCTGACCGCCTTATTATGTGGCTGCAATAATTCTGTGCTCTCTCTCTTCCTTTCTCTAGTTGAGAATATCCAGAACCTGATCTACAAACAGCTGGGGAGCGTCAGCTGTCGAGGTGAAGATGGCGGCAGTGGGGATGACCCCTCATTACCCCGGAGAGCAGAGACCTTTGGAGGCTATGACAGCAGTGCAAATCCAAATAGAAGTAAGCACCCCGACACACTGAGAGAGTGAGGGACAGCTTTTCTGCCTTTTCGAATGATGAAGTTGCTCTGTCTATTTGATCTTTAAACAGTGCCCCCAGTGAATACTGTCCCTCCTCCCCCCTCCCCCCTCTCCCAAGCGACGTCATCAGGGACCCCATCTTTACTTGAATGTAATGCTTCCCGCTCCGGTCTTGGTGCACTCAGACAGCCCAGTCGACATCAGTGTCATCTTTTAGTCTACTTTGTTCTCTTGGTATTCTCCAAGTTCTTTGAACGGGATGTTATCTGGCTTCTCTGGAAACGCTGCAGATCTGACAGAGCTCTGCCGTGCATGAATGACCTGGAGAGACCTTTCATTGTAACTTTTTCCGTAGACATCCCTAGAGCTATTTCTAAAAAGACACTCAAATCCATCTCCAGTTGGCTTCTCCGCTCTCCTTCTTTGGCCAGTCTCGACAGGTCTCTTCCTGGTTTCATGCTGTTGTCTTCAGTCGCAGAACCTTCTGGCCCTGCCCCCTGTACACGTAACCAGTGGAAATTCAAAACTGAGAACTAAACCCACCCGCTTGGGTGTCAGAATGTTGCTTAATCACCAATTTTGGAACTTGAAGGTTGCTCTGATAATTGGCAAGCTTGTTTCTAATTCCAAATGCTAGTCTTTCTGGTTCCAAAATTAAATTTGGTCTATGTGACATTCTAGTGAGACTGTCTTAGGACTTTTTTTTTTGTCTGTTTTTAAGATGCTAGTTTTAAGAAAAAGGTCTACAATAGTGATGCCTGGTTTAAAGACCGGAGAAATCCTTTTACCAGCTCAGACTCGCAGCTTGGTGACCTTTCAGGAGATTCTGAAGAAGGATCACAGACAGTATGTTTTTCTTCATTCTAATTCTCTGTGTTTTAAAATTGAGTTTATAATGATGAAGCATACTATCCGCCTCCAAAGAACTAATATGCTTTGAATACAGACTGAAGCATGTTATTTTTCACTTTCTTTTGTTTAAGTCTTCTTATACATAATGACTAGTATGGAAATGTTTTTATGTGATTGTGCATGTGTAACCTATGTCTGAGTGCTTACTGTCCCTGGGGAGGGAAGGATAGACTTTGGAATTGAAAACTTAAAAAACAAACCAAAGAAAACACCAACAAATGTCTAAAAATTGTTTCAACATGTGATTGGGGGGGAAATAAAATCTATTTTAAAAAATAAAATTGAGGCCAACCGCATGCAAATGGGGAGCAAAGAGCATGCAAACTCCCCCACTCAGAACAGCGCGCCCCCTGCTGGGAGTGAACGTACCAGCCGTAGTGGGAAAAGCAGCCAGGGTTGATGGCCATGTCATCAGAAGGGGGCCCGGCCTCATTGAGTGCGAGCGATGGAAAGAGTGATCAGGGAAAGACTTTAAGATGAAAGCAGGCTTCTTAGCTATGGAACAGACTGTCCAGAAAGCACATTGGTGGGGCGGGGGAAGTTTCAGAACCATTGGAGTGTAGGAATTAGGATGGGGTAGCAGAGAGAATTTAGTCTGCTCAGGGCCCTCCCTCAATGTCCAACCTTGTAGCCAGTGACGACAAGGCTTGCGAAGCCTGGGGGGCCTGGCTACCAGTGTGACCTTGGGCCTTGGTCTTTCTAAGCCTCAGCTTCCTTAGCAGTTCAGTCTAGGACTTTTTCAATTGCCCCGTGCTTCTTAATTATAAACTTAAAATTATGTGATATCATTAACTATGCAATCACATATACTATTAACTATAAAATAATATGTGCTATACTAAATATAATTACATATTACATATAATGTTACACTTTTTATTAACAATATGATTATATGTTATTTTCTATGTAATAGAAACTAATTTGTATCCTTCTGTGGTTTTCCCTTCAGACCGAGGTTACCCGAGTGGATTGGAACAGCACGTCACCAGGCACAATGGAACCTGAGGTACGGTACTCCGGAGCAGTCCTCTTGGCTTTCTAGTCAGCCCAGAACTTACCCACGTGCTTCTGTAACGGCCGGGCCCAGCCCTTTGTGATCAGGCTGCAGGCCTGGTGACGCTGCTGTCTCAGAGGTCACCACCCCCCTCACTGACAAATCTAGTGAAGGTTTTTTCATCTTTATAGCCTCCTTGCCTTTTTTGCAGTTTTTAGCACTGCTTCCTATGTGGCTGCTTTTTGGTCAGGGTTTGCCTGGATCCTGGTCTTCATTTCTGTGCTGTTGAAGTGAATATTCACATAAAAGCCTATGCTTGGCCCTCTTTTTCTATCTTTATACTCTCTCCTTTAACAGTCTTTTTAATCTCAGGACTTTTAACTCCTGTCTCTGTGCCCACGACTTCTGTACCTTTACTTCTCATCCTGACCTCTCTTCTGAACTCATTTCATCCCCTGACACAGAGATGCAGAATGTGACGGGCATTTTGGATGTAGTCAGTGGGGTGATTTGCTTTGCTTCACTGCATTGTTGTTCAGCAGTTTCAGTCGTGTCCAACTCTTCATGACCCCGTTTGGGGTTTTCTTGGCAGAGATACTGGAGTGGTTTGCCGTTTCTTCCTCCAGCTCATTATATAGATGAGGAAACTAAGGCAGTCAGTGTAAAATGACTTACCCAGGGTCACACAGCTAGTAAGTACCTGAGGATTTGAATTCAGGAAAATGAATCTTTCTGACCCCAGAGCCGGAGGGCTTTCCACTGCACCGCCTTAGGCTGCCCCTTGCTTCACTATTCATGTTTATTACAAGGCTTTGGTCTTTCTTCCTTCCTTCCTTTCTTTCTTTCTCTTTAAATGTAGGGTGGGAGAATGGGAAAGAAAAAATAAATACTTGTTAATTTAAAAAAAGAGGTTTAAAAACTGCTTGTTAAGACTTCTCTACCAGGGTGTACTAAACCAACCTTAAGCTTCTTCCTCCTACTCTCACTGCTTCTGTGTGGCACATCTCTCCATTCAGTTTGCCATTTTTGTAATCATCTTTGCCTCTTGTGTCTCACTTACAGAGGCTTGCCAGTTCCATCGCCACTGCATATTCTGCATCATCCCTCATCTGTATTCCACTGCCACCACCCTAGTTAGTGCAAGTCTTTATTATCACCCCCCTGAGCCACCGCTTCCTACCCCCTCACCCCCAATCAGTGCTCCATATGCCAGGGGCATCTCCTTAGGCCTAGATCTCCTAGCTCTGGCTGCACTCAGCTCCAGCCCCTCTGCCCAATAGGCAAGGCCCCCACCATTCTGTCTTCCCAGCTTTAGTTTGTATTACTTTTTTCCGTGCACTCTTATTTCTCATTGAAACTGGACTTGAGTCTCGTCTGAAAACACGCATTGTGCTCCCCCAGATCTGTGCCTCTAGTTTCTTGTACCTAGGATACTTGCCCTCCTCCTCTCGCCTGTTGAACACCTTTTTCCTTTAAAGCCCAAGTCAGCTGCCACATCTTTCATGCACCTTCCCTGATTCCTTTGGTCAGTAATGGCCTCACCATATCACCACAGGCACTTAGACTGTAATGGGGCAGTGGATGTCTCATCCGTCTGCTAGACTCTTTCCATAAGCTTTTGAGTTTTAAATTTTCTCCCCATCCCTCCCCACCTCTCACCCCAAGACAGCGCACAATCTGATATAGGCTGTACATGTACATTCCTATTAAACATATTCTCACATCAGTGATGTTGTAAGGAAGAATTAGAACCAATAGGAGGAACCACCAGAAAGAGGAAACAAAGCACAACGGAAGAAAAAAAGTAGCAAATAGTATGCTTCGTTCTGTATTCAAACTTCATAGTTCTTTCTCTGGACATGGATAGCATTTTCCATCATGAGGCCTTTCGAGATCCTTGCATTGCTGAGAAGAGCTAAGTCTGTCAATATTAGTCATTGCGCAATGTGGCTGTACCATGTATGATGTTCTCCTGGTTCTACTCACTTCACTCAGCATCAGTCCACCCAAGTCTTTCCTGGTTTTTCTGAAGTCCGCCTGCACATCATTTCTTATAGCACAATAGTATGCTTTTACACTCATATATCACAACTTGTGCAGCCATTCCCCAGTTGATGGGCATCCCCTCAATTTCCAGTTCTTTTCTGCTAGACTCTTAGCTCCATAAGGAGCTACCTAGCACAATGCTGTGTACACAGTAGGTACTTGATAAATGTTTATTGTTGTTTCTACTCCCCCACCTAAATACAGATTCAAGCCAGTGACGTTTTCTTCTAAAAACCTTTCTTTCCTTTTTCTTCTCAGCTTGTACAGAGAATACAGACTTTATCCCAGTTGCTTCTCAACCTTCAGGTAAAACACAGATATTTGGAAAATAAATTAATCACTTGTTTTTATATAACTTGTAGTCCAAGAGAGGACATAATTTTAAGTAATATTTTAATGTAATGGTGACAGAAACTGTGCCCTGTTGAACAGAGACACCTCCCCCCCCCCCCCCCCAGTCCTGATGCTCCCTGACCGTGGTTTGTGCTTGGTCTTTCAGGCAGTGGTCGCTCAGCAGGATAGCTGCATTGAAATGCAGAGGGCCATGATCCTGGACCGAGAAAAACAATACAGACTGCAGTCAACACGTGGAAACTTCCTGTTAGAACAGGAGAAACAGCGGAACTTTGAGAAGCAGAGAGAAGAGCTGGCCAACGTACAGAAACTCCAGAACCAACTTAAGCAGGAACAGCAGCGCTGGGAGCGAGAGCGCAGCCGGCAGCAGAAAGAACTGGAACACACGGAGGCCCGGCTGCGGGAGCGCGAGAATGAGTCCCGGCAGCTCAGAGAGCGGCTGACCCAGGACAAAGAGGAGCTGGACCGGCAGCGGGAGGCCTACCAGCATGACCTGGAGAGGCTCCGAGAGTCCCAGCGAGCTGTGGAGAAGGAAAAGGAGCGGATCGAGCTTCTGAAAAAATGGAAGAAGCAGAGCACTGTGCCTGGCCCCTTCCCTCCCGAAGGGGCAGAGGTGAGGCGACCGTGTTCTTTTGGAGGGCTTGGCTTTGAAAAGACCTGGGAGGGAGGGAGTTCTTCGTCTTAGCCTCTGGCTGCAAACTGAATTTTCCTTCTGATCAGAACCAGAGCTTTGTGGCTTTGGCAGTGGAACTAGTTTGATAGGGGGATGTAATTAAAACTAACCCTATTGGGAAATTCAAAGCTGCCAGGTCCTGTATGTAGATTTTAAAAAGGCTGATTGTGCACCTTCAGGGCTGAGACTCACTGTGAGATTTTGGTGAGGGTAGTTTTTTAATCCTTGCCCTGTCTTCCAGTGGCTTAGCCAGTCCTCCCAGCTTTTTGTCCTATGCGTATCTGATGTGATTCTATTCAAGTCGATAAAAATGTTAAATAGCACATAGCTTTGGGCTGCACCACTGGAAACCAGCTTCCAGCAGACTCCTTGGGCCTGGCCATTCAACCATTTCTGAATCCATCTACTTGTGTCGTCATTTGCTTTGATAAATGTGAAGTCAGACTGCAGCTGCAACATTCCCTTGCTTTATCAGTTTAGTAACCATGGAAAAGAAGGAAGTAAGCTTTGGTCTGCTCTAAGTGGAACCACACAAATGCCAGGAAATGAGGTTGCCCACCTTTCTTCCTTTCCATGAGCAGAGCAGGCTTGATAGGGATCTGCCAGACTGCTTCTTTGTACACACTTTGCTTTTCTAGATGTACATTAACCATCAAATCAGTGTGTTCTAGAATTTTGTCGTTTGGCTGAGATGTTGGTGAAGGGATTCATTTGATAAGGTCCCTTCTAGCTGCAGAATCAGTGTGATTTCATGATTGAAAATGGCTCAGGAAAGAAGTCCTAAGTGTTAAGGGAGTTGGAAAATGAATCGCAGTCTTGAATTTTATTAGAATAAAACAATTATTGAAGTGAACCAGAGTATAACCTGAATGCCCTGAAAAACCCCAGTTACTCAGTTGTCCAAAATATTTGAGTGTCTAGATACTGAAGGATACAAGTCCTGGTCCCTGCCCATTATCAGGGAACCATGGGCTCTGCCTTGAGGCAGGGTTTCCTGATGTGCTTAAACAGAAAAGTGCTGGAGGAAATGCGGGGGGATGGAGCAGGGCTGGCCCTGCTGGATCAAAGGGAGTCAGAGCTGAACATGGTTTTCTCTTCTAGGGCCATGCCCTGAGCACCTCCTCTAGTTTCAATGGTGAAGGCCTCGAAGGGGCTGTGCAGCTGACCAAGTCCTTAGGGAGGACCAGCACCCTATCGTCCGGCTCTGATTACTCGGAGCGTCCAGAAGTGGCTCGTCGCGACAGCACAACGGCAGAGGGCCGCCTGGTGAAGAGCGACGTGCCGATTCAGCTCCTGAGCGCCACCAACCAGATCCAGAAGCAGGCTGCTGTCCAGCAGCAGATCCCCACCAAGCTGGCCGTGCTCACCAAAGGGAGCAAGGAGAAAGGAGGGAAAAGCAAAGCTTCCCAGCGGTCCGACAGCTCCAGTTAGTGTTTCCGCCGGTACCCCCTCTCCTTGGGTGCTCTGAGAGCCCTTTGGACAATCCAGGCAGCCTTGGGCTGGGTTGGGTTCCTCCATTGGTAACCCCAGCTGATGACTAATGCCCAGTGCCCTCTTCCCACAGCAGACCTGACAGTCCTGGTACAAGGCACATGGGCCACTTTGCTGGGGCAGAGGAGAAGCCAGTCACCACTGGGCAGGGAAATAGCAGGGCTTTAAGGGGTTTAAAGTCATTGCTATTGATAGATACAATTCACCGGGAATCTTGATCGGTAATAAATTGAAACACTCATTCTTTGAAAAGAAAGCAGAACCTATTGAACCCGGTGACCCTCCTGAAGTCACCTATTTAGAGACGTCTTTTTTCTCTATCTCGGTCACTAGAAAGGAGGTGGAGGGATTGCCAGAGTAGGGACGCCTCAAATGAGCTACCCTGAGTCTTTGGGGGTGGAGGCTGGGTTGGAAGCCAGCACTAAAGGACTTTCACAGTTGCAAAAACAGAAGCACAAGCTGTATTTGCTACTGAGAAGACAATTCAAGGCTGTGATCTCTGCCAGTGAGAGACAACAGTAAAGCCACAAAGCTGGCCACTTTCTGAAAACATCTTCTTAAAAATCCTTTTTAGCCGTGCTCCAGATGTGTGGTCTTGGGGAGCCTGGCACCGTGGCCCACAGAGAGAGTGACGCCTCTCGGCTGCTGGGGTGTGGTTTGTGGTTGGGCAGCTGCATGGCTCCCCAAAACAGACCTGGCTGTAGTTATGACACAGAACGGAAGACTGCTTCCAGAAAAAAGAGAGCAGAGCAGGGGGAGCTTCCGATGAGAGGCAGAAGCCAGGTAGCTCTTTAGCTTGTGATGCAGGAGCTGAGAGATAAGACCCAATGAGGAGGGAGCCTGGCTCTCCTCGCCTTGTTTGGGCATCACACTGCCCAGTTCCTAAGGCTTTTGTCTCCTTGTTTGAGATTTTCGTAAGGTAGATTGTTAGCAAACAGTTACTGCTGTTTGTGAAAAAGAGAGGGCAGGGGTTCCACCCCCTGTGGATCAGGTGTATGAAGTCTAAAACAACCTCCTGTGCTTGTTCTGACACAAAACTCTTCAGTGATTGGCGATGGACCAGGGGCTCTGTGTATGTTATTCTCTGTCTTCATGTGAATTTGAGGTGGAGACTTAGATTCAGAGGCTTCTGAGATGGTAGGTGCCTCTTGGCCTTGCCCAGGGGCGTATGACAATGTCCATGGTGAAAGGCCGACACATCTCTCCTGTCTGCTTGTGTGTCAGCAGAGGGGGAAGAAATGAAAACCCTCACTGTTTCCCATTGTCATCTAAAGGGTTCCTATCTAGAGACTGGCAGCCCTTCATAGATCCCTAGACTTGGGGAGCGGGGGGGGGGGGGGGTGGAGACAATCTCAAGGACTCAAGGACAGTCGTTGGAAATCCCTCTCCTTTTTTTCAGCCTCCTTTGACCTAAAACAGCAACTGATGCTCAACAAGTTTATGGGCAAAGAAGAAAACACTATAAAAACCCGCCAGTCCCCGAGTCCTGTTCTGGCAAGCCAGAATGTTATCGTACATCAGGGTAAGGCCTTGGGCAGGGAGGGGCTGAGGGGCTAATGGATGTTTTGTGGGGAATCTTCTAGAATGAGATGTGACTGTTGACTTGGGATCACCTGGATCTTGTGTTTTTCAGAGTCATTTTTCCCAGCGGACATTCCACCCTCAGAGAGCTCTCCTCTCAGCCCAGGAAATATGTTCAGGCCAAATAGCACTCCCATCCTCTCCCCCCCAGCCCACCTACCCACACAACTCCCCTCTGAAGACGACACCAACAAGGAAGATGTGATCTTTTTCTAAACTGCTATAGTCTAGGGTGCGCCCAAGGCCATCCTCTCAGAGGGGATCTCCATGGAGACTCCAGAGCAGCAGAGACCCAGTGCCGGCTGGCGTCTCCTGTCATCTCCACAGGGACATCTGCTTCAGATGAAGCCAGGTTTTCAGTGTTCACCTGGGAGCTCCAGAGGGCTCATTGTGACAGCGTTGGCACTCGCTTTTCTCTTTTTCAGGCATAACCACTATGGACTTGAACATCGCCTAGGCATATCAATTCCAAATCTATGGATATGTTCCATCCACCATAACGTGCTCTTTTTGGTGAATTTACAATGATTCTTGGTTAAGTTTTAAATCTCTTTTTTAGAAAAAGTTTTAATTGGAAGTTGAACCATAAATGAACTAAGGAACTGTTCTAAGTGATAGGACCCCATGTGGGTAAGAGAAAAATCTATTTTCAATCTGTTTTTACAGAGCTGTGGCCAGTGGTTGCAGTTTCAGAAAGCAGTTAGGTGACAAGCCAGCAAACCAGCCATCCTAGGGTCCTGGGATTCTCTGCCCTATGCATGAGCTGGAAGGGTGGACCTAGAGTGTGGGAGTATATTGGGGCCTTAAAACTATTAACTTGGTTTCAAGGCCCCACAGGCCAATTTAGGGAATGTATCCGTTCTGGGGGAGGTGATCCTAGCAACCCGCCTTTTTCACTGTCCCAGGTTGGCAGCAGCCAGTACTGTCTGTCTTCAGAAAAGGCGCCTTAAGCTCGTCTCCACTTCTGAGGCTTTGCTGGATGTGGTACAGATTCCCAAAGCAAATCATGTTGGTTCATAGTGAACCTGAGATTGGGATATTTTCCTGATCATTGATGAAGATGCTAAATCTAAAACAATTTAGCAAAATTGAGAGTGCAATAGGTTATTGTCTTCTGGATTGTTACAGTGGATGCCCTACTAGCGGGGGCCTTTCTTATCACAAGGGCAGGATTCTGAGGTGCTGGTGTCTTCACCAATCAGCAGCTGGCTGGGAGGCAGCAACATATCAAGAATGAAGGGAATGTGGGCCCACGTAATGAAATGGAGTTTTCATTGGCAAACTGTTGGGTTATTACTTTGAAACCTCCTCATTCTGAAATTGATATGGTGAAGAAAGTGAACTTGACCATTCAGGCTGCAGTGTGTACTTATGGCAGCTCGGTGCATGGCTCCATGTTTAGGCCCAAGCCTTGTGGGGGCTCGCAGCTCCTCTGATTGTCACAGACCCACCCCAGGGTCAACGTGTTTCTCTAAGCAGATGAGTTCTCTTGGGGTTTGCCTGAGGCAGCCAGGCTTAAGCGTTGTACGTGGATGTACAGAAGCTGCAGGCCGGAGGGTCGCACAGAGCCTTCAAGTGAGGTCATACCATCTTCACAGAGCAGTCTGGGAAAACGCCATGCTCGCAGGCCAGGAAGCTGCTCAATGACAGCAGCCTGTTCTCCTTTGTGTACCCCACTCTCCCCCATCGCCCCGAAAAGCAGAGTGTGTCCTTTCTACATTGGGCTGATCGGCCTCAGGAAGTGACCAAGCCGGTTCCTGAAATGGGGACAAACACATTTTTTTAAAAAGTATTCGTCTTAGAATATTCTCATAGATATTGCGTGTTTAGTAACTGTTGAACGGAGTGGTGGTAATCGAAGAAACATTTTGTGCTGATTTTCAGTGATTAAGGAGCCAAGTCTATTGGTTCAGTTAGAGTTGCATGTAACCAATAAATCTGGAATGAAGTACATATCTCTCATATCTATCCAGTAATTAGAAGATGGCAAATTATTTGACGTTTCCTGTAGAAAGAATCATCAGTAGTCAGATGCCAGAAAAAAAACAGGATTAGTGGTGAGCACAAAACAGATTCTGTTGGAAAAACTGATTTACAGTAAAATTTTGTTGGTGTCAAGTGTCCCCCTCTTTTCTCCTCTCTGTATGAAGGTAGTTTCATAGTTTTAGAACTGGAAGTAAGCAGGGAAGTCATCTAGCCTAATACTATCACCAATGAGGAAACTGAGGCCAGCACTGGGAGTAAGTAGCAGAATCTACATTTGAACCCAGGCTCTCTGACTCTAAATCTGTCACACAGCAGTGTCACAGAAATGAAACTGTTTGCCTCTGGTTCTGTTGGACACTTGGGGAAAAAATAGCCTCAAAATCATAATACTAGGGAGGTGGCTAGACATTATTTCTCTCTGCTTCCATCCACAATCGTGTTCCAGCTTTGGCCCAAACCCTAGACTTTCAGACTTGTGCTCGGAAGGTAGTGATGTGGGACTTGCTGGGCTGATTGGAGGGTTTGGCCTGTTACCCATCATACCCAGGGAAGGATCCTGAGTTCTTCATTGGAATCGTCAACCCACAATAAAAGTTTTAGGCCTGATCGCAGGGGCTTGATTCATCTGAGGAGGGACTGTGCTTTGTAGCAAGTGAAGAGGTGTGTCCGTGAGGTCTGGGGGCCGCTTGGGCGCCTGATGAAGGGCCCTGAGAGTCTTCTGTTTCCTTATTATTAGCAGACGCTCACAGGGAAATCACTCCAAACACATACATAGGGGTTCCAAAATGTATTTGTTAATGGAGCCTGGAAGAAATCTTTCAGTTCCTTTGAGTCAAAATCAGATTTGAAAGTTGTCGTTGCAAAGCCAGGCAGGCGAGATCAACGGTCAGCGAAGAGGGAGCCTTTGTAAAGAGCCAGCATGGGACTCCTTTTAGTGCAGCCTGGTCTGGCCTCTCCAGGTCCTAGCCCTGAGTGTGCGTGGGTCCTTTGCCTGTTCACCACAGTTGGGGCACAGCCAGTTGGCTTTCTTTTTGTGATCTTGGGAGCAGCAACCTGCAAGTTTAGATTCAGATCATGTCCTTTTTGAGGCTGTTGGGATTCTGCTACTGATGTTGTACAATGCCCCTGGAGAAAGGTGAGCCTGAGCTCTTGGTCAGAAGAAAAGGCGCCAGTCTTGAGATGGCTTGTCTTTCCTAGAGAATCCTGCACCGTACCCTGGAGAGTGCCTTTCACCACAGCCCTGGAAAGACCTTTCTTTTTTCCTTTTCCACATGTTCCCAATTGTTCTGTGGCCATGCTTTCCCCCCATAAAGATTGATGGCTCTTGTGTTTTTTGCTGTGTCTACCAGAGTGCTGCATTGTGTTATGAGATGTTCCTAGAGCAAACCCGAGTTAAACCTGGGAGGTCAGGGCAAACAAGTGTGCCTGATTTTGCTAAAACCTTTTCCACATCAATTTGCAGAAGGGACCGAAAGCAGAAACCATCTTCCTTCTTACCTTCACTCTAGTAAGAGAAACCTTGGAACATTGCTTTGCCGTCTGCCCAGAAATGAATTCCTAACACTTGGGATCGTGTCTCTACCCAATCTCTTCTTTCTCCCCCACCCCTATCCCCATCCTCTCCTTCTTGAAGAAGGGGTTGTACAATCATGAGATATCATTCATTTCGATTCCTGTTATGGTTGCCGGTCCCACTCAGCAAGTGAAGTTCTGAGAGAGAAAAGTTGTGGTTTTTACCGTTTCAAAAACTCTTTCCACATTGCCCTTTGAAATGTATGTACCACACATTAAATTTCATGTGTGCCATGTTTATAATCAGTGTTTTATATTTTTGTATTGAAGTATTGGAGCACTTTAGAAAAGTTGACTTTGAATTTGTTTGATCTTGGAAGGAAAACTTCTTGTCCATAATTCTGTTGCTGTGCTCACGTAATAGTTCTTTACTGAGCTGTGATAGGGTTTGATGCTGTTTAGTCTTAGGTCCAGTCCAGTGACTTTGTGATCTAGGGATCTCATGAATCATCATGATAGGAAGTTCAGGGAATTTCAAGCCAACCACTCACTGTAGGAGAGGACCGACTGTCTTCTTCCCTGGGGTTGGGGAGGTTCCTCAGTTCTGCTAGAATGGCAAGGTTGTAAATAGTTATTCCCCTGCCAGTAGTATCCCCATCACTTCTTGTTGGTATCTAATTTTATTTGTAAAATTGATGGTTAAGTACATGTTAATATCTCTGTTGACTCGTGCACTTCGTTAATTGTACTGTGATCTTAGTTCACCTCCTGGTTTGTTGTTTTGTTTTTGTTTCTGTTTTTACAATGATTGTGCTGGCTCTTGACTGCACGATTTCAGAACAGTCTTGGAAACCGAGTACTGATTTCTAGCAATAAAAAAAATTACTAAAACAAGCCATGTGTCTGAACATCAGTTTCGTGCTGCTCTGAAAGATGGGCTTTGCTAAGGGGTAGTCGGTCCTGTGATGTCTCAGCTGAGCACAGAGCTGTGACTGCACAGTCACAGGGTGCCGTGCGCTGCCGCATGAGCCCTCCTCTCCCTCCCCACCGGCCTCCATGAATGGTGGGGGATGGGATGCGTTTGTGGTTAGTGACAACAAGAAGTTTTCCTTTGGGAGGATATCTTAACGTAAATGACAAAGCTTAAATGTTGCACCTTGGGCCTTGAGCTCATCCTTAGCTTCTTTTATTTTTTTTGGTTGGTTTTCAACTTAATTTTTCTCTTTAATTGATTTAATTAATTTCTCTTTATTAATTAACAGAAAGCTTTTTCTCTCACACACCCACCTCAAGGGAGAAAAAACCCCAAAACTTGTAACAGGCATGCAAAACAAATTTCCACCTTGGGCCCCATTCTAAATTGTGTGTCCATCACCTGTGTCTGGAAGTGAGCAACAGGCTTCATCATCAGTTCTCTGGAAACACAATTGGTCATATTGATCAGAGTTCTTAAGTCTTTCAAAGTGTTATTTCTTTACATTGTTGTTAATTGTCTACATATCATTTTTAGAATCAAGTATTTATTGAGCACTTTCTATTGGGTCCCATGTGGGGCTACAAAGAACCCTAATACACGGCCCCTGCCTTCATGGGGTTTGTTGTCCACCACACATGTGAACCTTTAAATTATATACTCGGATACTTAAGTACACCCGTGAACTTGGGTGTTGGAACGTTTTCACCACTACCCACACTTTCTTATTCTGTGTAGTTTGAATCCATGTCCTTCCATAAACTCTTCAAAGAGGCTCTACCTTGCCAATGCAGTGCACCAGAAATCTCTCCAGGACTTACAGTAAATATTCCTTGGGTACCACTGTGATGTTCAAGCCTGAGTCAGCCCTTTCTAACGGGTGCTCTCACCTTAGGCCACTCTGATGTAAAGATTTTGTCTTGGATTTGGTTAAATTCTGTGAAGATGGATGAAATATCTACTGCGCTGTGATAATAAAAACTGATGTTTATGTTTCACAAACTGCTTGACATTCATTGATGTCCACATAGCTCTGTGGGAGTAGCTATTCGAGCATTAGTCTTTTGATTTTCAAAGGTCTTTTGATTCCAAATCCAGCATTCCTTCTGATACTCCAAGCCTCTTGACATTGAGGGAGGAAGAAAATAAGGTATGGGTCCCTGCCTTCAACTAGGGGAATGAATGTCACACCTAAGCATAACAACTTAATAAAGTCAATGACAGTATTGGAGTGATTTGTTTAGGGAGGGCTAATAAATTGAAGTGTCTGTACAGAAACTAGCACAGCACCTCCGAGTGGGGAGGATGGGTTGGGGAATGTATTTCTGCTGTGCAGTGTTTGTTAATGTTAGGTCTTACATCTTAGCCAGATGTTAATGACCTCATGTGAGGGAAAGGAAGGGACTGGGCATAAAAGGCAAAAGGAAGGGGTCATGTCATTCCTGTCTCTGGATGGACATGTAGTTAAATTGTTACCAGAAAGCAACCCCAACGCGGCTGTTCCCTAACGTCTGAAAGAACCAGGGCCATGACAGGTTCTTAGGGGGATGGAGCATTAGTTGGTGTGCTCAAGCTGAGTGCCATAGAAGAAGCTTGTGTGAGCCTAGAGGACCAGCCTCCCTGGGGGAGATTATTTGTTCCAGGCCTGGGACAAAGCACAGAATCGAATTGAGAGTTACTGCCTACTGAACACTTTGGTGTTTCTGGAAACTTCCAGAACACACCAAAAAATGGGATGGAGCCCTCTGGAGGGAGTCAGAAGAGCGACGTTCTGGGGGCTTGTCAAGCACCTACAACCGCAGGGGGCTTTCCTCTTTGAAATGGGAGGTTCAGCTAAAACATGGTTCCTGCCTTCATGGAGTTTCTAACATGAAGCACAGCCACACTTTCCTCCTCTGTAAGGTGCAAGTGATGGCAGCCATATGTGTAAATGTCAGCTGGTAATTAAGGAAGAGTCATCTAGGAGCACCTGACCCCCCTGCAGGGGCAGCAGGTGGGCCCGGTGACTTCAGGCACCATCGTGGGACTATTTGTGCTCAGACCAAGCTGCTCTCTGGAAGAACCTGCATTCAAAAACCAAGAGCTCATCAGGTGTTGGTCATAGGCTAAATTATAGGAGGAAAGATGTGCCGATTTCAGCATCATTCTTTGCTGGTGTTTCAGAAATACTTTAAGGTTGGCAAAACATCTGACATACATTCATTCAACCCTCACAACAACCCAACAACAACCCTACCAACTCTGTGTGGTAGGTCTTGTGATTATTCCCATTTCTACAGGCGTTATAAATGAGGCTCAGAGAGGTTACATAATTGTCCCAGGGAGCCATAGTTATCAAGTGTATGAGGTGAGATTCAAACCCAAGACCACGTCACCTATTCCCTAAGCCATTAGGAGGAGCTGGGAGTTCAATTCTGAATTTGGCAATTCTATCACTTGATATCCTTTCATAAAAGCAGTGGGAGTAGGTTGTTTGAAGCACGTTTAGTTTCTAAGTTGGCATTGTGTGCACACAAGTATGGCTGAGACATTAGAGGTTTTGAAGGTTTTTTCTGGTGATGGGAATAGCTCAACGCCAAGGCACAAAAATCATACTGCTACCCATCTATATGATGCCATTAGGCTCCATCTCCAAGATGCATCCCAGCTCTGAGGCTTTAATAGTCAATCAGGGTGGACCCAACTCCCTTCAACCCATGTTTGTTTAAAAAATCAATTTTGAAATGATTATCATGTTATCACAGAAGCAGGCCTGACTTCATTAAGTCCGAACTGTTTTTAATCAATAGGAGCTACTGCTAGCTTGACCAGGCTTCCTGAATGATCTTGGGCAAGTCAATGCATGTTTCTCAAGAGGAGTAGAGTATGAAAGTACTAGGAATTTTGTGATTAGACCTTGGAAAATTTCTAGTTAGGGTCTCTGATTCCACAACTGACTTTCTGGGTGGCACTGGCCCTGTAGTGGCAGCCTCTCTGTCAGTCCAGTAGGTCCACCTGGGACTCTGTCCTCCACGGTTGTGATGTGGTTTAAAAGAGCAAAACTGAAATTTATTTTTTCCTAACCTTAGGCTGCTGAAAGGCAGTCAGGACTAAGAGAACATAAAGAGACGTGACGGCCCTCTTCTCTCATGACTTGGTTTTATTAAGGCAACTTTGAAATTGATTTAAAAAAAAGTTTATCCACAGACGAAAAACAGACATGTTTCTAAATTTTAAATAAATGATGTAGTTAATAGTTTTTTAAATAAAGGATGCTGTTAATTAATAATTAAAAGTTAATACAGACCAGAACAAAAAACTCCATTAAAGTCAAAGTAAGGAACTGAACAAGACAGAAAGATGTCAGGGAAGACTTTTCTTCTTAAATAAGGGATGGCTGCAGTTGTGAAGCCTTACGTTACCAAAAAAGGGATGTCTTCTTCAAACGCCTGATCTTGGAAAGTGACACGCAGATTCTAGAGCTGCTTCCAGGGCAGAGACCTTTGGAAGCTGCCTCCAGCTAGTTTTCAAGTCACTTGAAGTCAGCTGTCATTTCATAGTCCCGCCTCATTCTAGACTACAGTGGGATTCTTCGGCCTCATCATTCACCATATTCACCAGGAGGGTTGATACTGGTTAATATTCTTCACTGCTCAAAATCCACCAACATGAACAAAGATGTGTCACGACTGACAAAGCAGATTTCAGAGCACAGCGACAGCAACGGGACCAGCACCTCCATCTGGGAAGGGAGGCACCGGTGTGCCAGCTAAAAGTCAGCCTCCCTGCTTTCCCAATGGTCACACTTCATCCATCAATGACAACGATCGCCATCTCCCCCCCGGTGCCCCCCATGGTCTCCAGCCCCTTCTCCTTCGTCAGCCGACTGGCTCATCGCATCTGTCCCAAATCTACATAACCAACATAAGTCAAGTCTCTCACTCAGTAGGTGGCAGGCCCACCTTGGTCCTATGATCCTAGAGCCACATACGGCACACATGCCACCCTCCCAGCTGCCGGGCAGGACTCTGGTGCCGACAGGACATTCCGAGAGTGACAACACTTGGCTGCTGAACAGGATCCTCTGTAGCAAGAAAATGAGGATAGACGCCCAGGCCTCCTGTGAGAATAAAGGAAGGCAGCATGTAGTTAATGGCTGCATAGTGATGGCAGCAGGAGAGAAGGAAACAACATTACCTTATGCAGTCAGAGCCGGCATGGAGAACAAATTCCAATTAGAATCACAAGACTAGAGGACTGGGCTGTCTCCTTTTAGTATGTGTAGGCAGATGTTTTCAGCTCAAAAAGTATTTATTAGGTGCACAGCACTGAGGTGGGTGCCATAAGATATACAGAGAATACCTGGCACGGTCCTTTCCTTTCCAAAGAGAAAGCTTTCATGTTTTTCAAAGGATAATTAAAATTAATTGTCCTTGGCCCTGAGAAGATTGGGTCCCATCCTGCTCTGACACAAAATAATTCACCTATGTATGATATCCTGGAAGCACACTAAGTTTCTCTAATACAATTCATGGCCCATTAAGAAGTTAGAGGATCTGGAACATGAGTAAGAAGCACTTGAAAGGTTTAAGGTCAGTGTCAGCGCCACTAAGTCCCACGGGTGCCATGAGGGGCACGTCCAAGCAAAGCCACCTTAGGACCACACTGGCATTAGACAAGCTCCAGTTCTCACTGTGGCTGAACCAGACTGAATCTCAGCTTCCATTTCCGCTGCCTGATCCATGAGGTATTACTGAGGTTTGCTACGAGGCAGGTTTTGCCTCCCCTGAACCCAAAGATCTGTGCAATATGGTTAGATAAATCTGTTTTAGAGGAAAGCAGCTTACGCAAGTGTAGTTTTACAAAGTGGCCCAAGTTACTGATGACATTTAATCTCAAACCACACTTCAAAAATCCATGGCTAAGGAGATCTAAATATAGTTCAGGAGGCTTAAGTGAAAGCAAAACCACAGCAGGAATTGAGAAAGTAGCAATTCAGTGAAAGCTCAGCTGGAGAAAGAGCCCACGTCACCATCTCAGTCCTCCGGCTCGTCGTTACAGGCCCAGGACCGTGTGTGGCAAACAAGGGGGAGCTCTAGCAGAGGCTTAACTAGGAAAGACTGGTCTTTACCCTTCTCATTTCCCTCTCCTGCAGGGGAGATCTTCAAACAGACAGATACTTCCAGGTGCTGACAAATGCCGTAGGGATGAGGGAATAAGGCACGGTTGTGACGCTGCTCCAGGTGTCTGAGGAAGGGTCGTAGCAGTCCAGGGTTTTGCAGCGCTGAGTCCCACAGTAGCCCCCCACCACAAAGAGTCTATTTCCACAGGTGACCGCTCGGCAGCTGATCCTTCTGGCTGTCACATCCCCAAACTTAGACCACTGGAAGGTGTCACTGTGGAAGCGGTAGGCAGAACTGGCTGAGAACTCCGTGTCACCCCCAATCACGATCACCTGGTTGCCCAGCACAGCAGCCGCAGTGTATCTCCAAGCTTGGGGACAGGTGGTGGGCGCTGTCCAGCGGTTCTGACAGGGATCGAAGCACTGCACTTTGGGTAGATGAATCTGGTTAACACTGGTACCACCAAAAACAAAAAGCTTCTTCTTTGCCCCTACCACGGCAGCATTGCTCACCCCTTCCTGGAGTGGAGCCACCAAAGTCCACTTGTTAGTCTGCGGGTCATAATGTTCAACCTGTTTAAGCGAGACGGAGGGGGAGGCCGGAAAGGAGCCACTCACCGCTGTGTGGCCCCCAACTACATAGAGAGAATGAGCCAACTCGGCAGAACCGTGACCAAACCTGGCCACTAACATTGGGGCAGCTTTGGCCCATTCGTCGTGAAGGGTGTCGTAGACCCACACATCCTTGGAGGCGCTGTTTTCAGAACCCCGGCCGCCCGTGACGTAGACTTTGCAGCCAATGGCGCAAGCACTACACTCCTTCCGGGGACTAGGGATATCTGTCCTGAGGATGATGTCGCTGGTTCTCTGGTCCATTGTATAAATCTTGTCACACATGAATGTCTGCCCCCCGAGCAGCAGGAGAGCCTGGCTGACCTTCCTGGGCCGGGCACAGAAGCCTGTCACTAGCCCATCATTCTGCAGGAGCCTCATTTTACAGCGCACGGCATCTGCCACAATCTCCTCTCCCAGTTTGTGGTTCATTACGACCTCTTCTAGAGCCACCTGGTTTTTGAGGTAAGCCTCAGGCAAAAGCGCCAGGCGCACAGAACGCAAAAGCTCTGGCAAGTCATCGTGCCGGGCAGACAGCTCATGCTTGATCCACCCAATGACCGCTTCATAGACCAGGCTTTCCTCCTGCACTTCCAAGTCTTCACTTTGCACAAGCTCCAGCAGTCTCTCTTTGGGGAGTTTCAGGAAATCTTCAGACTTGTACAAAGAAGCAAAGCTGGCTAAAGCCATTCTCCAGGACAACTCAAACAGCCTGTCACAGTTAAAGGTATCAGACAGGGCCAGCATATTGAGACAATTGGTTGGATGCAGATTTTTCTCCAAGAAGGCTGCAGCTGCATCCCGGATGTCGTGAAACTGCAGCATGTCCCCGGCCTCCAGCAGAGACTCCGCGTTCTCTTCATTGATGAGCACCCTGGCGGAGTAGGCATAGTCAAGCAACAACTCCAATACCTCTGGATGCAGCCTGTCCCCAAAGTCCACGTGGCCCTCTCTGCTCTCCCTCAGGCCCCCTCCAAACATGGCCTCAAAGTAGTAGCTACAAGAAGCCAGCACAGCTCGGTGACAGTGGAAAACCCCAGTGCCGGCCTTGAGCACCACATCAGTGAAGAGGCACTTTTGGCGCAGCAAGTTCAGATGGGTCAGGAGGCTGTCTGCATGGCCTGGCTTGTGGAAAATCTGTATGTTCATGGAGCCAGAGCTGGATCGAGACTTCCTGGTCTCGTGGCTGGTGACCGACATTGTCCCCTGCACACTAAAAGAAAACAGGAAGAGCAGAACAAGAGTTAGGCCCCAAAAGTTTTCTAGGAGCCTCTTCTCCCATCCACAAAGTACTTTCTGATTGTTTCCCAGCTATTCAGTTCTAGTGCAATGGACCCAGAACAATCAGACGACCACTTTCTGAATCCCAACCCCACTACCACACAGCAGATGCTTAAACGTTTGTGGACTGACTGATTATATGCCCCTGGGCTAGTCTCTTCCTCATCCATAAAATGAAAGGGTTGGACCAGATGATAACAGATAACATTTATATAACACTTCAGAGTGCCTTTTACGTATATAAACACCTTTGATCCTCACAACAACCCTGGGAGGTAAGTGCCATTATTATCCCCATTTTATGGAGGAGGAAAGTTGGCAAAGGTCCCACAACTACTAAGTACCAGAGACAGGAGGCAATATCTGGCCTTCCTGACTCCAAGTTACTGTTATCTCCACTACATCGAACTGTCTCTGTTGACCTCTCATGAGCAGCTTCCAATTCTCCAACTTAATGCTTTTCCTCCAGACAGAGGAACATCCTGAATAACAGAGGAAGGCCCACATGAGAAAGCCAATAAGGGTATTTCATCTACCTGGCCTCAGGCAGGCTCTGACTAAGCCCCGCTCTGGGGCCAAACCCCAGGAACACAAAGATAAGGGAAGTTAAACACAGAAACCAAAGCCAGGAAAGGTGGGTTCAGTCAAGCTTCAGGTAATAATTAACTCCCTTTTCAGGGGACGCAGTCTTTGAAGTAGAGGCCCTGCCCTTCCCTAGACTTAAAAGGACAGGAAACCAAACCCAGCCAGCCCCACAGAATGCAAAGCTGGGGAGGCAGAACCGGGTTCCCAAGTTAACTTCTTAATCAGTCTTCCTACCGTTCCCACCCCACCCCCACACCTCTCCCCTCCCCAAACCGGCTCAAGGGGCCTCCTTCCAGCCTAATAAGCATCCTAGACAAGACCCCAAGTTCAGCTGGGTTGTCTCCATCTTCTCCTGGGAAGTGATAGCCAGGAGAGGCCCCCTCCTATCCCAGTCTAACGACCCCCCCACTCAACTACCCACTGACACCCTTTCTTCTCATCAACTCCCTCAGACACCCCTTGCTGCCACAGATGCAGAGACCCTGCCTCCACCTAGACACCTCTTCTGCTGACAGCCCCCTACCCAGCTTCCCCCACCCACAGTCTGTCAAACACTAAAGACCCTCAGCCACCAAAGACTGTCAAACCCCACCACACAGACCCTCAGTCAGCCCTCCTGCTAGACCCCTCCAAATCCTTTCAGACCCCCATAAACCCTCAGACACTCCTCCTGCTAGACTTCCCAACACCCTCTTTGTGAGCCCTCCATAGACCCTCAGACCCTCCACCTGCTGGACACCCCCCCAGACACCCCTCTGACCACTCTCCCCCCAGATTCTCAGTGAATCCTTCTGTTAGACCCTCCCAATATCCTCTTTTAGAGCCCCCCCATAGATCCTCAGCGAACCCTCCTGCTAGACCCCCCAAATACCTTTTAGAGCCCCCCCAAAGCCCTTCAGACACTTCTGCTAGACCCCCCACCCTCAGACACCCCTCCTACTGGACACCCCCTCAGACACCCCTCTGGCCACTCTCCTCCCAGATTCTCAGTGAATTCTTCTGCTAGACCCCCCCAATATCCTCTTTCAGAGCCCCCCATAGACCCTCAAACACTCCTCCTGCTAGACTGTGCCCCACACTCTCAGCCACCCCTTCTGGTAACTCCGAGACACCCCTCCTGCTAGAACCCCCCCCAATCTTCTCAGACCCTCAGGCACCCCTCCTGCTAGAACCCCCACAATCTTCTCTGACCCTCAGACACCTCTCCTGCTAGAACCCCCCCACAATCTTCTCAGACGCTTACACACCCCTCCTGCTAAAACCCCCACAATGTTCTCAGACGCTCACACACCCCTCCTACCAGACTCCCACCTACCCTCGTCAGACCCCGGATGTCTGAAGAGACACGGCTGCCAGACCCACCCCCCCCCCAAGCCTCCCCATCTTCCCCTCCTTTCCCCTCCCGCTCTAAACATCCTCAGACACCCCCTTGGGCCCCCCTCTCCCACAGGCCCCTTCAATCCCTCCTCCCCCTCCTCGGGCTCCCCACCACGTGGCCCGGTCCGGCCCGGGTCTTCCCTCTCCCCGCCCGCAGGCCCGAGGTCCTGGCCTCACCGAGGTCAGGTCCGCGCTGGATCCGAAGTTTTCCTCAGGCCAAAGATTCCCACTCTCCGCCCGGTCCTGGTCCCGGCCACGCCTCCTCCGAAGCTGTCCCGCCCCACCCGCGGTAGGGACCAATGGCGGCATGAGTCCTCCAGGCATTGGTTCCTCTCCCAGATCCATGTTGGCCAATCATAGACCAGAAGCGTCTCCTAAATCCCGCCCCTCACGTCTTCAGTCTTGTACTAAAGAGATCAATCGCGGCTGGAGTGACCAATCACGGAGCAGAGATGCAGGCGTTAATGCACCCATTGGTTCTAGATCCTCCCGCCGAGATTCGCGAGATCTCGGCAGCGCCGGTTCTGTCTTTGTGTCCTGGGGTTACAGGAGCGGCTCTCTGGAGCTGGGCGGGGCCGGGGAGCCTGAGGGGGAAACTGAGGGCTAGCGGGGGAACGCGACTTGCCCAAGGCCAGACTGGCTGTAGTGGCCAAGGCAGGGCTTGAACCCAGGGCATAGGATCCCAGATATAACAATAATAATAATAATAATAATAGTGTTTGTAGCGCTTTAAGGTTTCCAAAGCGCTTTACATCTTATTTCATCCACGCAACTACCTTAGTAGATAGCGCACAGCTGCTGCGGGTCTGAAGCAGGATGCGAACTCAGGTCTTTGTGACTCCCAGGCCATTGCACCGCCGTTTAGCAGTAACACAGGCGCTGCTTAGAAGAGGGAACCCAAAGTAGGCCTTTCTGCGGTGGAAATTCCACGAGGAATAGTCTAAAGAAGGAATAAATAGGCATAAGGACCATGAAACATGGAATAAAAGCCTAGAATGCCCAGAAAGGAAGAGAATTAAGGACGAGAACCAAAAAATCCCCGACCCCCTTTTTATTTTTAGGAAAATATGCAGAAAATAAAATACTGTTCATAGAAATAATAGTTAGCATTTAAAGTTTGCAAAACACTGCATATATTTTCTTATTTGATCCTTACCACTACTCTGTGAGGTAGGTGCTGTTTACAGCTAAGGAAACAGGTTGAGAGGAAATTAAGTGACTTGTCCAGGATCACACTGCTATTAAGTATCTGAGTCAGGATTTGAACTCAGCCCTTCCTGACACTAAATGCTGAACTCTTGGCCACCTAGCCTATAGAGGCTACAACCCTGTTGTACCTGCTGCCTCTAGAGGATCTTGGTTAGGGACCATGGAACATACCTCAAGGCACCCTCTGGATACCTTCTTCCCTTTCTCCTCAACCCATCTTTTTGCTAGAATGTTAGCCTCTTGAGGTAAAAACTGTCTTTCTGTCCATAGTGGCAGCCTAGTGCCTAACACTCTTAATAAATATGCATGGTTAATTGATTCATCTTTGTCCCTCATCCTCTTTTCTTTCATTTTCCCTGTCTTCTTTTTCTTCCCACCTCCCCGTCCCTTCTCAACCTAAACCTTCTTTCCCCTTGTCTCCCCATCCCTTTGGACCTCTGTCTCCTTAACTCTCATCAGTATTTCTCCTCACCCTTCATCTGGTCTGTTATGTATCTCTCATCCCTATCCTCATCTCTCTTACTCTTGGCCCCTTATCCTTTTGTCAACCAATCAACATTTATTAAGTGCTTGGTGTGTATATCAGGCACTATACTAAGTGCTAGGGACAGAGAGACAAGGTGGGGGGGAGGGGTCAGCTACTCTCACATATCTGCCCTCAAAATGTAGTACAGATTGAGATTCACATCTCACTCCATTTTCCGTATCAGAGAATACTGACTTAAGCTAGCATTTATTTATCTATTTTTTAATTTTTAATTTTAATTTAATTTAATTTTATTATTGTTTATGTTATTTCTATAATATATTATATATAACATAACATAATATTTATATATTATTTATATAAATTATTTTATTATTTTATTTTTATTATTTATTTATCTATTTATCTATCTACCTACCTACTTAAGCTTCAAGTTTGCAGAGCGTTTTCCGTACATTATCTCATTTGAACCTTACAGCAGCCCTATGAGATAGGTACTCCAAGTATCATCATCCACATTTTATAGACAAAACAGGTTCAGAAAAGTTAAGTGATTTGTTCATGGTCACACCGCTAGTTTCAGACAATATCCAAGACCAGGTCTTCTGAGTCCCTGTCCAGCATTCCAGGCACCATGCCATAGAGAAAATAGTTGACAGTTTTTGGAAGAAAAATGAGGAATGAATGTCTAGATTCCCTTAGAATTTTCAGCCAACACCTGGGCTGGGGTTTTCTGAATGCTTAGTTTTAATCTGGGAGACCCACGGATTTGACTCCACCAGTAGGGTTCAAAATCCTGATGAGTTCTGTCCACACCCTGGCCTGCCTGCCTACCCAGTCCATTCCTAAAAGTCATAGTTTCTAATAAAAATGAGGGAGAGAAAGGCCTTATGCCAAGTGGCTGCCACCTTGGCCCAAGCTTCATCTCTTCTTTCCTGGGTATTATTATGGGCTCCAAAGGGCTTTTTTTTTGCCTACAGTCGTTCCTCTTTCTCTTCTGTCCTTTACTTGGCCATCAAAATCATCCTCATACATATATCCAAACATATTAGTCCTCTGCTTAAAAGTCTTACATGCTTCCCTATTGCTAATAGGCTGAAATTCAAACTCATTTTGCTGTCATTCTTCGGACGTTTTCAATTGTGTCTGACTCTTTGTGAACCCATTTAGGGTTTTCTTAGCAAAAATACTGGAGTGATTTTCCATTTCCTTCTCCAGCTCATTTTACAGATGAGGAAACCAAGGCAAACAGGGTTAAGTGACTTGCCCAGAGTCACCCAGCTAGTAAATATCTGAGTCCAGGTTTGAACTCAAGTCTTCCTGACTCCAGGCCCAGCGCTCTGTGCCCAGCGCCACCACCTAGCTGCATCATTTGGTCCTTCCCAAACTGGCCCCCCTCTACCTTCCCAGTCTCACTCACATTCATTTGACAAGCATTAAGAGCCTACTGTGTGCCAGACACTGTGCTGAGCATTAGGAATACAGAGACAAAAGTGAGACAATTCCTGCCCTAAAGGAGTTTATGTTCTATTGCGAGGAAGCAACATGTACAGATATAAAATCAAAGAATTTGAGTTGAAAGGAACAAAGGCAGGTGTCTAGCCCCATCCACCTCCAGGAAAACCCAGGACTTGTCAAAGGATCATAGATATAGACCTAGAAGGTACCTAAGAAGTCATCTCATCCAGTCCCTTTATTATACGGATAAGGAAACTGATTTTAGCACCTACTACGTGCCAGGCACTGTGCTAAGCGCTTTACAGTTATTATCTCCTGTCCTCCTCACAACAACCCTGGGAGGAGGTTCATTACCTCACTTTTCTTGACAGCCAAACTGGACTGGTTGGCCATTTGTTTTCATTTGTGAGACTGCCCCACTCAGGCTTGGGATGTGTTCCCTTCTTAGCTCTGACTCTTGGTGCTGCTTTTTCCTGGGGGGAGCCTTCCTCAATTCCCCTGAGTATAAAGTCTTTCTGCCTACTCTTATTTTCTTAGAATGTTTTATCGGCATCTCTGTAAAATCCCTGTCACATTTTACCTTGTCTCATCCTTATTCACATACATACCATATAAATGGAAGATACTTCCCCTTCCTTATTTTATTTACTGAAAAGGGAAAGTGAATAGATATTGTTTTTGGTTAAATACACAGAAAGGCACCTTGAAGAGAAATACCAAGTGCTGAGAAAAAAGGAACTTGAAGAAAGACCCAAAGTCCTGAGAGAATTGGAGTGAAAGCAAGCTGTTCAGATGACAAAGTATTGACCAATTGTAAAGATGACTAATGCAGTTTCCCAACAGCTAATTCACAGCGGATTATTTATTATTATTATTATTATTTGAGGGCTAGGAAATCTATTGTTGGAAAACTTAGAATGAAGAATTGTTTTGGACCCTGAGACTATATTGTGTATTAATTCTTTGTAGCACATCTGACAGAAAAGTGGATTTGGAATTTTTTAACATGATTAAAGGTCCTGATTTGAGGTTAAAAAGATAGAAAAGCTGGTGAGAGAAAGTGCTTACAGAAATTGGAGACAAAACATAGAAACCAAAAGAGCTGAAAAAAGCCAGGGTCAGCTGACTAGAGGCAGGCAGTGCTTTGCAGTTGGTACAGGGAGCTGTTCTGATTGGAGGAACTGTGTTGATGATGGGGCCTGACTGAGAAAACAGCACCCTATGTTGTTTGAAGAATTGGCCGGGGAAAGTCTTCTTTGCTCTCTGTCATCACTAACCCTTGAGAGAGGAAGAACTCCCAGAGATTCTTCTGCGCTGTCTGTTACTTCTTTCTATGACTCTAAAAGGGAGAAACCCAGAGAGAGCAGATTGCTATAGCTTTTGCAGATCCCAGGTTTAAAGAGAACTGCTTTTCATTGTAAGAGTATAACATTGCTTCAGAGCCTAGCCAATGGAACAGACCAGGGGAAGGTCTGCACATTCAAGGTTTACTGCTTCTTGGGGCAGCTAGGTGGCGCAGTGGATAGAGCACCGGCCCTGGATTCAGGAGGACCAGAGTTCAAATCCAGCCTCAGACACTTGACACTTACTAGCTGTGTGACCTTGGGCAAGTCACTTAATCCCAATGCCTAGCCAAAAAAAAAAAAGGTTTACTGCTGCTTAACACTGTTTCAGTACCCTGAGAGAAGCAGGAAAGGAGGGTCCCACCCAGCAGATGATGTGTGGTATAGACTGTTCCTTAAAGAAAACATAGGCATCTAGGCCTATGGTCCAGAGTTGTGAATTGCCTTAGGCACAAAGATCTCCCTACTTAGTTGCCTTACGGCTTAGGTTCCCAAGTTTATGCCTATACAAAACCTATGTGCTTTGGAAGGAGAATGTGATCTAGGTTAACAGACAGAATCTTATATTTTGATTATTCCTGACTTTGTCTTCTGTGGTATAAATGTTAATTTTTATTATTCTTATTTATTATTCTTACTTTTGTCTTTTCATTTAGTAAAAGTTTCATGTTTAAGAATTAATGGTACCAGAAAACAATTGAAATTGAATGTTGCAAAATTATGAACATACCTGGCCCCATTGAAAAGATACAAGAAG